CTTCCTCCTCCTCCTCCTCCTCCTGGGTGAGTGTCCTGCTTGCTGGTGGGGGCTTTCTTGGGACAGTTGTGGGGAAAGCAGAGTATCCCCTTGGTGCAGGTGAGGGGCTCAGCCAGTGCTGCTCTGGCTGTGGGAAGAGATGCATCAGCATGTGCTCCTCTCACACCATGGTTTCACTCCAAAATGATAGCCCACACCCTAAAAGGCTTTTGATGAGGGGACATGCACATCCCTCTTGAGTGGCTGCTGGAGGTGTGGAGGAGGTTATCTCACCCCCTCATCCCTTGGGGGAGAATTTCTGAAGGTTTCTTAGGCTATGCTGTCACTGGCTGTTCCCTGTCCACTTCAGTTGGTTTTTGACTCAGTACCTGCATCCTGTGGGCATTTTGCCTGATGTGCATGCTGAGCACTAGAACAGAGCCAGTGTCACCACTGGGAGCTATGTGGAAGGGGAGGGCCCATGGGTGGCAATCACCTCCCCAAACCCTCTGCAGGAAGAAATGGAGGGAGCTCTTGATGCCTCCTGGTGTCCTCTGCCTTCAGAGGAGGTCTCCCTGCCTCTCTCTCCTGTGCTCTCCCCAGTTCCTGTCTAAGGAGCACCTCTGCAGCACCCAGCCTGCTGGTTACCACCCATGTCTCTTGGCTTCTACATTGCATCTCCTTCTCTGGCAACTGCTCTGATGCTCTTGCAACTGCTCCCTTTCCCCCCACAGTTTGTGCAGGATCTGAGTGCTTGACCCTCTTAATTTTAACACACTATAAATTTCCTCCGGTGCTCTCAGCCTGGTTGCTGCTCTCTCTGGAATGCTGGCTGAGGGATGCACTTCAGGCAAGAACAAGCTTGGCAGCCCTCTGGCCATGATGCTCTGGTCTCTGTTGTGTGACCCTCAGTGTGCTAGGAGACAAGAAAGTTCAGAGGCCTGTGTTTCCAGGACTTGTTCTTGTAATTGCAAGGTGTGTGAAGTCTCTTGGACTTCATGCTTCAAAGAATGAGGCTGCACAGCAATTCTCTTCAGTATTATGCTGCAGTCCCATGCGTGTCCAGACCCACTGCTGTTTAGGGTGTGCATATACCCCTGCTAACACCATGTGTGCTGACTGTTTGCTGACAGGTTTGACCACTGGGCAACGGGTAGTGACTGTTCAGAAGGGACCTCTCTACCGTGTGAGGGGGTCCCACGTCACACTGTGGTGCAAGGTGAGTGGCTACCAGGGCCCGGCAGAGCAGAACTTCCAGTGGTCCATCTACCTGCCCTCGGCCCCTGAGCGGGAGGTGCAGATCGTCAGCACTGTCGACCCTTCCTTCCCCTACGCCATCTACACCCAGCGCGTGCGCAGCCGGGGGATCTACGTGGAGCGGGTGCAGGGGGACGCTGTCCTGCTGCACATCACTGAGCTGCAGGACCGGGACGCCGGCGAGTACGAGTGCCACACGCCCAACACCGACGAGAGGTACTTCGGGAGTTACAGCGCCAAGA